GATTCATTGTTTCCTTTTGGTATTTCATTTCAAAAAATGAATTTTCTAAAGCAATTTTTTCGGATATTAATTCATACACACACAAAAAACTTTTTCACCCATTTTGACCCAATCTTTGAATTCATTTAGAGACACGGCTTTTTCGGCAAAGTATCTTATTTTGATCCCTATTATCCGAAAATCATATGTTCCTATGCGACTTTTTTACCCATACAAATCGACTCGCTCTAATATATATATTAGGTTTTATTGTTTTACTCGATTTTTTATCACACACCATTTTACAATCCTGATTGATCATTGCACTAACATTTCATGGAACTTGCCAACACATTTTAGTATATATTTTTTAGAGGAGGTACTCTCAAACTGGACCAATTTCGAAAACTTTAAATTCATAGTTCAACAAAAAGTCTTAAATCTTCAAAACTTGGATCAAATGCCAATTTTGCAAAAATAAATTTTGACTGTGATTCTAGAAGTGTTATTTACGGTTGTGGGTCCAAAGTTTATATGAACAAAATTAATAAAAGTTAACCACAAATAAAAAAAATCATCACAGTTTCATCACAGCTCTGGATAATAATTTATGTAATTAGTTTTTTCTATTATTATTAATTAGTAACAACTTATATGATCATTTATTATAATTTATTTACATAGATTTTTTTTCTATTTTTTTTCAAGATAGTTACCCGTTTCGGCTTGACGTTGAGTTCTGGGATACCATGTATATATATTTACAGAGTCTTTTGATCAAGCGTTACATGAAAAATATTAATTTAAAAAAATATATATGTATTCAAATATTCGGCTGATCCTAGTCTTTATTCAGTGAAAAGAAAATTTGCTTTTGTAATAAATATGAGTATGGTACAATCGTACACTATGTAATAAAACATTGAAATTGTTATATATATATATATATATATATATATATGCTTATCATATTTCAAATTATTTAATGATTCGGAATTTTTAGTTTGTTCTCCAAAACACCACAATTCTTGTATAAATACATTCTTGTATAAATACATTTTTGCATGAATTAATAAAATTAGAACAAGCGTACACTCTGTACTTATTTCATAAAAAGTGTACTGCTCAAAAATTATGCAATGCTAAACTGAATTAATAGTTTTTTATCAGTAATTAATACAGTTTAGTCAATTAATTGCACTGTTTAGTTTTTATGTGCTAATCAGTGTGTGACGTTAATTTTCATTCAAAATTTCTAATCGAATATACAGGTTTCTTTTAGCTGTGAGAACATAAAATCTTGCATATAATTGCACACTTAACGTTCTTTATATTTCAAAATAAATTATTGATCATCCTTCGATTTGGACCAAAACTGTATATTTATGTAAACAAAATTTTGATATGCGCAATCAATTATATATATATATATATATATATATATAAACTAATCCAAATAGTAAAAAATAATTAAATTTACCTAATTATTAAAAAAAACTAGATGTAAGTGGCATACTTAAGACAAGGCACATGAACTTTCCGATATGTGTGAATAATCGACACAGTCAATAAGAACTTAAATTTTGTAACTTTTTATTTTAAATATACCTCAACTATTCAACTACACGAACATGCGCTTAATATAATTTTGTTTTTACAATTAAGTGCAAAGAAACGGCCCGGAAGATCGTTACCAAAAACTAATCAACACGATTCTCAACTGAAATTTTTGTAAAAGTTTTTGAATTCACAAATTTGGCAAAATAGATTTTGGATCAAATATTTAAGGAAAAATTTTGCACTTATCTGTTATTCACAAAGAAATAGCTCAGCCGACCGTCTTGTACAAATAAAAACGCGAGTCCTTATCGAGTTTCTTCAAATGGCTTATATATTTTTGAAATCGGTGCAGCCGTGTTTGGAAACAAATCGATGAGAGGTTAAATACCCCATTCATATACATACACGCAATCGTTTTTCCAATTTTAGTGTCAAACGATTCAGAATTACTTGAAACGTCAAGAAAACATAAAATTACAAAATCTGAAAACATAATCATCTTAAGAATTTTAAAAATAATATATTCAAAATGTATAAAATAATAAATAAAATTTATACCACAAATACAAAATTTATTTAAATATATTTCCAATTAGTATTTAATAACAAAATTGATGACTCTTTAAAAAACGTTTTATAAATATGTGTACGTTCTTAATTCCTTTTTTAAAATTACTGTATGTTTTTTCACCAAGTTTATAAATTTTACAACTTCTCGTAGGAAACTTTTTGCATATCTTTAAGTTTCAGAGGTTTCTGAACATTTAGCATATCTTAGAAAAAGTATATGTATGTATGTGTGTGCGTATGTGTGGATGCAATTTTTCGTCCAC